TGCAAGAACAGGCAACTGACCAGGCACAGTGATGTAGCTGTAATCCTAACACTTGAGAGGCTGAGGCCAGGGGATCACCATGAGTTTGAGGCCAGCCTGAACTAAGTCATGAATTTAAATCCAGCCTAACCTACATAGGGAGACCCTATGTCTCAAAAACAAAACACCAGCCAGGTGTGGTAGTGCACACCTACAATCCCAGCACTCAGGAGGCTGAGGCAGGAGGTTCATGGCAAGTCTGAGAACAGCCTGGGCTACAAAGTGAGTTCAAGGCCAGCCTGAACTGCATAGTGAGACCCTGTCCAAAAAGACAAAAACAAGGGGCTCAGTGTCATGAGCGTCCTCCTGGCAAGTGCAAGGTCCCGAGTTCAATCCCTGGTACCCCCCCACACACACACACACAGACAAAAAACAACAAAAACTAAACAAATGACTTGACAGACCAGGGCACAAGTCCATGTTGGCACATTGAATGGAGCTACTCAAACAATTCCTTTCCCCTTTGAAGAGGGGCTCCTTGGTCTGAAATGACTTTACAGAAAGACTGAAGTTTGGTGGAAGTTGTCATTGCCATGGATCCCAGGAATAGAGCCAACCCCTCGGGGTCCTCTAATTCTCTATGTTCAGGCTGCAACATCCCAGGAGAGACTCAAATCATGAGGGAGGGAGGAAAGGAGTAGTAGTTCAAATCAGGTTGAATCCTGTCATCTTGGCTACCAGTTGCTTTGAGCCCCCACCGTCCATACTGCATTCCAGAGCCTAAATTCTCAGATTCTAAATTCCTGGCCACAAGTGTGCTCCCAACCTAGAAGGGAGCATATAGGAGAGGGTGCCCTAGCATTGGGAACTCTGGTACTACTGGTCCCTGTGTCTTGGCCCATCAAGGATCTAGCAACTTTCCTCAGTTCCTACCACCTGTGCTCAAATGGCAATCACTATTGGCCTGATCTCTGCACTGCTGTGGATGAACAGGGAGATGGGTTTGGAGTGGTACTGTATCTGGAGTCCTCAGTGTGGCCCCCAGAGAGCCTTTGGGCCCCTGGGAAACTTCCTGGAAGGCTGGGATTGAGGCATTAGAAGAATCTCAGGGTAGACTAATGTTGTCCCATCAAAGCAGCTCAGTCTACCCCATGTGTGCCCTTCAGGTGCCAGACAAGAGAAACACCTATGAGTACTCAAGAGCTTGTGAATCATTGCTGCTTTCTTAGTCCTACCTCGCTCCCTCACCTTCCTCAGCCTTTACTGAGATCTGCTTGCCCCCAGGACCCCTGCACTGTGACCAATGGAGATGAGACAGAGGGGCAGGTACTTGTCCTTTGCTGCTCTTCATGGAGAGGATGACAGAAACCTTGACTCACCACATTCTAACCTGGTAGACGTACCATGGCCAAGAGCAACCTTCCCTTTGCTCTGGCCACCTGCCATACTGGAGCTACTTGAGACTCAGGCTTCTCCTAAGGGTAGAGGCAACTCAGCCCTTCCCAACCCCATCTAGAGACCTGGAACTGATCCTCCTATTTGTCCCCCCTAACAGCTCAGTCATTAATTTGAGTGCGTGTTCTCTCTCTCTCTCTCTCTCTCTCTCTCTCTCTCTCTCTCTCTCTCTCTCCCTCCTTTCCCTCCCTCTCTCCCTCTCCCCCCTTTCCCTCCCTCCCTCTCTCCCTCTCTCTTTCCC